TAGGACTCTACCAAGGACTCCATAATATTTTTAACTTATGGGATATAATGAAATTTTCTCTAAGAAGCAAAAAAAAAGAAAAGAATAGAATTATGCAGTTTTTAGTATGTAAGGCACAATTTTTAAAGTTACAATTAAGCATTCATTTATCTCAATGACACTGAACTTGTAACATAAGATTCACATGAAGCACCTATTATGCTGAATTCTAAGAGTCTTTTCATCTATCAATATACATTTGCACTTACAAGCTATACCTAATAAAAAGACAGTATGCAGTAGGAATAACTGTAATGAAATCTGATAAGAGAGGAAAAAAATAAATGAGTACATTAAAATAGAACAGGGCACCAAGTTTAAAACAAACCTACATTTTAACAAAATATTTTATAATCAAACACAGCCGCTATAGTGTTCATAATTATTAGCTCTGCTTAACCTCTTTCCCTAGGTTTTAAGGGTCTGATAAAGTGTACCAAAATGTCATAGAGTTTAATTAAATTTTTGCAGAACTCTGCTGTAAATACTGTAAAAAAGGAGTACGCCTGGCACATACGCAATAGAAAAGTACTGGAGTGTGAAGAACTAACATTAGCAAATATGAAAAGTAATAGGTTTTGTAATATAATAGTCTTAATATGTGCTGTCTTCAGAATTACTCACCGGAGCTCCCTTTTCTCCTGCAGGACCCGGGGGACCCTGAGGGCCAGGACGCCCTGGTAAGCCAATTGGACCTGCTGTGCCTGCTGGGCCACGTTCACCAGGGGAACCCTAAAATGTAAAGAAGAATTAATAGTTTATTTCAGGGCTGATGTGCTAAACAAACAATTAATACTGGAAAGTGCCTAAATGTTTGGTACTTATGTGGTATAAGATAGAAGGAGTTGTCTTATATGGAATCACACTTTTGAACTGTGCTATCTTTTCTGATTGCCAAAGGTTCTTTGAGAACACAGATCAAGGGCTTTCTTAAGCTTCTAACCCGACACCCTACTAAACTGGAAGTTATCTGGAATAATTGGCATAGAACAGAATTATGTAAAGGTATTTGTAACAGTAGCGCTTTGCATTTTAGGAAATGTTGGGAGTCAAAAGCAAAATGATACCATATAGTAAAAAAGTAAACAAAGATATATACCACAGATATGGTAATGAAAATCTGTACCCTCTGAACGTATTTTCTTTTAAAAAACTCTTTTGAGAAGTAAGCATTCTTCTTGAGCCATGAAAAGCCACTGCATCCTGGGACTGATTCATATGGCTCAAGGAACAGTTCTATTGGAATTTATCAGGCAGTGAACGGATGGAATATCTTAGTATTACCTTCTACTTCCTACTCAGGGCCAGCCACATCTGCCATTCAGGATTATGCTACTGCAGTAGATGACGCCCACATATTTCAAAACTATGGAAGAATTCTGAAAGTATTTGGTAGAATATAGGTCCACCAAAAAGAATCCACCAGACCTCTGTAAAGAATATACTATAATTATGAATACTTGTCCTTCTAGACATCTGAATTCATTGATACCAGTAACTCCAGAACCAGTTATTGTAATGAATGGGCAACCCCCATTAGCTCTAGAATCTGCTGCATGTAGGCAAAGCAGGCAAACCTCCCACTGCCCCAATTCATTCTCCAGACGCTCTATACACCCTTCCGAGAAGGAATCAACACATTTGCTTTCCTAGTAAAGCATACCTGAATACATGTAAGCCACGGGGATGACACTATGAAAAGCAGAAGTTTATTTCATCACCTTGGAATCCTAGCCTCAAGGAGGGAGAAGGACAGAAGAAAGTTTATCCAGGCAAAACCAAAAGAAGTTTGGTTTCACCCTTTCTGTTTAAAAAGCCTTGTCTTGGGATGTGAAATAGAGAGATCGGGGGGGAAATAAAAAGAGGTTGCTGGAAGACCTAAATGGAAGAGAGAATAGAGAAATGAAGCAGTTCTCTGAAAGAAAAGAGTGTAATTTTGGAGCCAGGGGCTGAAAGAGCACTCAGGAGAGCTGGCCTCCTCAGGAAATGAAGAGGTAGAAATCTGGGGGGTGAGTTAGCCAGGTTCCATGGCATATAACAAAGAAAAGAAATACATCCATTGTAAAGAGTTCCAAGCTGGTTTCTTGGGAATGGAGGTAAAGGACGGGAGTAAGAAAAAAGTGTGAATGTATTGATTCTTCTTGACTGCTCAACAGTTTTTAATTTGCCACCAGATATGAAAACCCAGGAGTATTTTTTAATTACAAACTGTGTCAACTCTAGAAGCACCAAACATATCACTTTTGGAAGAAAATGATTTTAACATTTTGGTGCACATTCTGATAACCTCTAGGTTTTAATTACTGCTTGTAGGGCTAGTTTAGAAATTTCAGTTAGTTCAGAACTTACCAGCCTGATTGGATGCTGGAAGAACTTTACACTGTGTGAGTCACGTAATGACCACATGATTCACTTAACGACCATATGATTTACTTAATGATTATGGTGATTTGCTTAGCGACTGCTGCAAAAAATGTCGTAAAATCGGGTGTGGTCACATGATGCCTCGCTTAATGACCGCACTGCTTAACGACAATTTTTTCAGTCCCTATTGTGGTTGTTAAATGAGAACTACCTGTATACCATACTGCTTTTCATTTTCGGTTGTCTTGATAAAGCAATAATGTCTTTAAAGCATATTTACGATAAATAATATTTGTTTTCTGATTTGTTTTCTTTGGCATAGCTGACTGCATGCTTAGAATGCCCAAATCAGAAACAAAACAACAAAAAATGAGGACCAATCTTAAATATTAACTTGGCATGATTCAAAAGCATATAATAAATGCTTTGTTTTAATCAAGACTCCAAGAGACTGAGAATTAAATTTCATAGCAACTACAGCCTTAGCCCATAGAGGTTAGCTATTATGTTTTTTAGCTATTCTGTTTTGAGTGGAAAATGTGTATATGTTTAAGACTTCAAAATCTGCAGAAGATATCCTGAAATTGGGGGGGGGGGGGGTAAAGGAGGGTTTTGGACTTATAGCCTGATCTTTCTTCTGCATACTTCAATAAGGTTCTGAGAATTTGCTAATAGAGAATCACAAAAGCACAGTGTTTATCAATGTTTCTTAAAGTGTGATCCAAGAACCTCTGGGGGTCCCCCAAGATCCCCTCTGACATCTGAAAAATCAAAATGATTTGCCAGGTTTTGAAGATATTTGCAAACATTTGAAA